TAGTTTTAGAGAATATCTTGGTAGATTTCTTGGGATTTACTATGAAGCTAACCTTGCCGTTCTTAAATAGAGACATTCTTCATGTCTTTCTTTTCTATATGTATTCCTTTTGTTTTGTTTTCTTTAAGCAGAATTTCTGACAGACTCATAAAATTAGTTTACTATATTGGACTTTAAAATCCTCTAAGAGATTTTAAACTTACTCCATAAATTGAGACTTTGAAAATTTGTATTTTTAGGGTAATAGTGAACTGGAAACAGTTCTCCCCTCTCAGAGGTAAAGCACTACTTGACATTCTCATATTCCCTGAAAGAATGAAGGTTATCTTGATTTTCTAGTGCCCTTAACATTTTTCAAGGGAAAAAAATAAATTCTCTGTGGAAGAAAATAAAATAACCATATACTTCAAGTTATCTCTAGCATATTTATTAAAATGCCTTGCATTCAACAGAAAATGTTCAAACATGCTAGAGAAAAAGAAAACATGGCCAAAATCTATGAAGAATGATATACAATAGTCCCAGAATCATAGCTGATACAAGTTAGGGAGCAATAAATTATAGACTTTAAAATAGCTCTGCTTAATACGTGCAAGGAAATAATTTAAAAATGAGAATTTTGAAAGAAAATGAAAACAAAAGATAGGGGTTTAATGGATGGATTAAATTATATTATACAAAGCTATATGAAGAATAACAAATTGAAAGTCATTTCAAAAGGAAATCTCCAGAGCAAAGCATGCAGCAGCAAAAAAAGGAAAACAAGAAAAATAGTGAATAAAGGGATGTATAAAATAATTCCAATATAAATTTACACTTTTGGAGTTCTAGAAGGAGAATAGAGTTAGTAGGGGCAGGAGCAATAATAATGGGATTTTCCATAAAAAAATTGAAAGACATTAAGTCACAGATTCAAGACAATATGACCTATAACTAAGACACATCATATCACAGTAAAATTGCTAAAACTAAAGAAAAAGCAGCCAGAATAAAAAGAGTTTACCTAAAAAGGAATGACAATCAGAATGTCAGCAGACTTCAACAGAAAAAGGGAAACCAGAAGAAAAATATCTTTAAGGGGTTAAAACAATTCAAAACCTAGAATTCAAAATCCAGCAAAAAAAAAAAAAGGCCAAAGTATTAAATACATTTTTAGCCAAATAAAAGCACAGATATACAGCACAGAATATTTATTAACACGAAATAAGCAATTAAAAGAAAGGTTTGGGTTTAAGATATGCGGAACTTAGCAATCCTTAACTTTCAGTCCCTCTTTAATAGAAAAAAAATTAAGTTTTGACTGCAAAGGTAGGTTAAAAAAAAAGTGAATATTTGTTTGAATGAAAAATTAATAAAATTGCTTTCAAAAGCTAAAAATACCACAAATATCCCAAATTTGAGACAAATTATGTTTTTAATTAAATAACATATCTATAATTCTTTTAAATTCTTCTGGTTTGTTGTGTTGAGCCAATTTTGCCTACTACTTTATTTAGACATTTATTACCAGATAATGTTAGGAAAATATGCATCAAATACTCCCAAATACAATCCTTCCTTTTGGGATGCATAAAGCACCACCCACGTATAAATTTGCTCTTGTGTCTTTCATGTTTCTGGTTAACAAACATAGGAATTCTGATACATTTCATTTCACACCATTCTTATCAAAAGGAAAATTGTATATATGGTAGATGTATAATGCATTTTGGTATATTCTTGGTAAGAATATACTGAAGAATATTCTACTTTTATTAAGCATAATTTAGAACCTAATTTATGATTTTACATGTCTGATGAATCAATGTTTCTGCCTTTGGGCATTACAGCTTTCTTTTCTTTCTTCTCCTCCTTCTCTCTTTTTAAAAAATTTATTTGTTTTATTTTAGGTGCATACTTTATCTGGCATTTCTCCCCATGTTAACCCTCCCCACTTTCCTCCACCCCCCACTGTCTCTCCTCTACCCCCTTCAACTGCTCCCAGTGTGTGATGTTCCTCTCCCTGAGTCCACATGTTCTCATTGTTCAACACCCACCTATGAGTGAGAACATACAGTATTTGGCTTTCTGTTCTTGTGTCAGTTTGCTGAGAATGTTGGTTTCCAGTTTCATTCAAGTCCCTACAAAGGACACAAACTCGTCGTTTTTTATGGCTTCATAGTATTCCATGCTGTATATGTACCATATTTTCTTTGTCCAGTCTATCATTGATGGGCATTTCGGTTGGTTCCAGGTCTTCGCTATTGTACACGGGGCTGCAATGAACATATGTGTGCATGTGTCTTTATAGTAGAACATTCTTTGGGTATATATTGAGTAATGGGATTGCTGGGTCCAGTGGTATTTCTATTTCTAAGTCCTTGAGAAATTGCCATACTGTCTTCCACAATGGTTGAACTAATTTACACTCCCACCAACTGTGTAAGAGTGTTGCTATTTCTCCACATCCTCTCCAGCATCTGTTGTCTCCAGATTTTTTAATGATCACCATTCTAACTGGCATGAGATGGTAACTCAGTGTGGTTTTGATTTGCATTTCTCTAATGACTAGTGATGATGAACATTTTTTCATATGTTTCTTGGCCTCATATATGTCTTTTTTTGAAAAGTGTCTGTTCATATCCTTCGCCCACTTTTGAATGGGATTGTTTTTCCTTATGTATCTGTTTCAACTCTTTGTAGATTCTAGATATTAGTCCTTTGTCAAATGGGTAGATTGTAAAATTCTTTTTCCATTCTGTTGGTTGGCGATTCACTCTAAAGATGGTTTCTTTTGCTGTACAGAAGCTCTGTAATTTAATTAGATCCCGTTTTCTATCTTGACTTTTATTGCCAATGCTTTCGGTGTTTTAGTCATGAAGTCCTTGCCTATGCCTATATCCTGGATGGTTTTGCCTATGTTTTCTTCTAGTGTTTTTATGGTGTTAGGTTTTATGCTTAAATCTTTGATCCATTTGGAGTTAATTTTAGTGTAAGGTGACAGGTAGGGGTCCAGTTTCTGCTTTCTGCACATTGCTAGCCAGTTTACCCAACACCATTTATTAAACATGGAGTCCTTTCCCCATTGCTTGTTTTTGCCTGGTTTGTCAAAGATAAGATGGTTGTAGATGTGTCGTGTTTCTTCTGGGGTCTCTGTTCTGTTCCATTGGTCTATGTCTCTGTTTTGGTACCAGTACCATGCTATTTTGATTACTGTAGCCTTGTAGTATAGTTTGAAGTCCAGCAGTGTGATGCCTCTAGCTTTGTTCTTTTTGCTTAGAATTGTCTTGGCTATGCGGGGTCTTTTGTGATTCCATATGAAGTTTAAAGTGGTTTTTTCCACTTCTGTGAAGAAGGTCATTTGTAGCTTGATGGGGATAGCACTGAATCTGTAGATTAATTTGGGCAATATGGCCATTTTCATGATATTGATTCTTCCATGAGCATGGAATGCTTCTCCATCTGTTTGTGTCCTCTCTTATTTCATTGAGGAGTGGTTTGTAGTTCACCTTGAAGAAGTCCTTTACATCCTTTGGTAGTTGTATTCCTAGGTATCTTACTCTCTTTGTAGCAATTGTGAATGGGAGGTCGCTCTTGATTTGGCTCTGTTTGTCTGTTACTGGTATATAGGAATGCTTGTGATTTCTGCACATTGATTTTGTATCCTGAGACTTTGCTGAAGTTGCTTATCAGTTTGAGAAGATTTTGGGCTTAGACAATGGGGTCTTCTAGATATACAATCATGTCGTCTGCAAATAGAGACAATTTGACTTTCTCCTTTCCTATTTGAATACACTTTATTTCTTTTTCTTGCCTGATTGCTCTGGCTAGAACTTCCAATACTATGTTGAATAGGAGTAGTGAGAGAAGGCATCCTTGTCTAGTGCCTGATTTCAAAGGAAATTATTCCAACTTTTGCCTGTTCAGTATGATATTGACTGTAGGTTTGTCATATATAGCTTTTATCCTTTTATGATACGTTCCATTAATACCTAGTTTATTGAGAGATTTTAGCATGAAGGCTGTTGAATTTTGTAGAAGGCCTTCTCTGCATCTATTGAGATAATGATGTGATTTTTGTCTTTGGTTCTGCTTATGTGATGGATTACATTTATGGATTTGGGTATGTTGAAGCAGCCTTGCAACCCCGGGATAAAGCCTACTTGGTCGTGATGGATAAGCTTCTTGATGTGCTGTTGCATTCTGTTTGCCAGTATTTTATTGAAGATTTTTGCGTTGATGTTCATTATGCATACTGGCCTGAAGTTTTCTTTTTTAGTTGAGTCTCTGCCTGGTTTTGGTATCAGGATGATGTTGGTCTCATAAAATGAGTTAGGGAGGGTTCCCTCCTTCTGTATGCTTTGATAAAGTTTCAGAAGGAATGGAACCAGCTCCTCTTTGTACATCTGATAGAATTTGGCTGTGAATCTGTCTGGGTCTGGACTTTTTTTGGTTGGTAGGCTATTGATTGCTGCCTCTACTTCAGCCCTTGTTATTGGTCTATTCAGGGTTTCAACTTCCTCCTGGTTTAGTCTTGGTAGAGTACAGGTGTCTAGGAATTTATCCATTTCTTCGTGGTTTACTGGTTTATGTGCGTGGAGTTGTTTGTAGTAATCTCTGATGGTAGTTTGTATTTCTGTGGGATCAGTGGTGATATCCCCTTTATCATTTTTTATTGCATCTATTTGATTCTTCTCCCTTTTCTTTTTTATTAATCTGGCTAGCAGTCTGTATATTTTGTTGATCTTTTCAAAAAACCAGCTCCTTGATTTATTGATTTTTTTTTTTGAAGGGTTTTTTGTATCTCTAACTTCTTCAGTTCTGCTCTGATCTTAGTTATTTCTTGTCTTCTGCTAGGTTTTGAGTTTTTTTGATCTTGCTCCTCTAGCTCTTTCGACTATAGGGTATCGATTTTAGATCTTTCCTCTCTTCTCTGGGAGGTATTTATTGCTATAAATTTCCCACTCAACATTGCTTTAAAGGTGTCCCAGAGATTCTGGTGAGTTGTGTCTTCATTCTAGTTGGTTTCGAAGAACATCTTTATTTCTGCCTTCATTTCATTGTTTATCCAGTCGACACTCAGAAACCAGTTCAGTTTCCAAGTGGTTGTGTGAGTTTGAATGTGTTTCTTGGTCCTGAGTTCTAGTCTCATTGTGCTGTGGTCTGATAGACTGTTTGTTATGATTTCTGTTCTTTTGCATTTGCTGGGAATGATTTGCTTCCAATGATGTGGCCAGTTTTACAATAGGTGACATGCAGTGCTGAGAAGAATAGTTTGTAAGTCAAGAGGCAGAAGATATGATTTAGAGTTCTAATGTTCCTGAGTTGTTTGGGAAATGGTAAGAGTTGCAGGAAACCTTAGACTTAGTAAGTACAAGGGGCTTGTTTTCATCTAGTGAAATCACTAAAAGAATAGAAAAAGAGCATACACAGCATTCAAATGAAACACAATAATGTCTTTCTCAGCAACTTGGATAGAGTTGGAGAACAATATTCTAAGTGAAGTAACACAGAAGTGAAAAACCAAAAGCCACTTGTTTCACTTACAAGTGGGAGCTAAGCTATGAGTATGCAAAGGCACACAGGGTAATATAATGGACTTTAGAGACTCAGAGAGTGGTAGGGGAAGGGAGCCCGGGATAAAAAAAAAAAAATGCACATTATGTACAATGTATACTACTTGGGTGATTGTATATTAAAATCTCTGAATTCACTGCTATTAATTCATTTAACAAAAAAAAACCATGTATACTCCCAAAGCTATTGAAATTAAAAAAAAAAAAACAACAGAATTGGAGTGAAAGATAAAAGAAAAGGGGCCCACAGAAAGAAGGGGAGATCCCAGATGCCTACCCAAAATAAACTCTTAATGCACTGAAAGTTAATAAAAAAGGATAGTGTAAAACTACTGAGTTAAAAGTAATAGAAAATGGCATATTAACAGGTAATTAGTCCAAAATTAGGCAAAAAGGGAGAGAAAAAGGAAGTAAAGGCAAGACAAAGGTAAAATAATAAGGTTTAGATGTAATCAAAAATATATCATATTAAATGTAAATGAACTGTAGGATACCACTTAAAAACAAAGATTATGAGACATGACTAAAACACAACTATATGCTTCTTACAAGTGGCGACATAAATGTAAGATTTCAGAAGCCTGAAGGTAAAAAGGGTAGGGAGATATAACAATGCAAATGGTAACAAGAAAGCTAGTGCTGCTAGATTAATATCAGATATAGACAAGAAACATTCAAAACAAGCTGGGATACTTTGTAATGATGTAATCATTTCTACAGATATAATAATTCCAAATATATAAGCTGCACAAAACATTGTCAGAGCTAAAATACAAAATTGACAAAATTCTTATGTTCACAGGGGAGACCTTAACATACTTTTTTTCCTACTAAATACTTAAGAAACAACATCAATCTAAAAAAAAGAAAAAAAAAAAAGAAACAAATCTGTTTCCAAGACAAAAAAAAAAAAAGGGTGGGGAGAAATACTTTCCAACTCAGTTTATATTGCCAGGAGTGTTGATATTAATACCTGATAGGGACATTAAAAGGAAAGATTACAGGTCAATCTAACTCATAAACATTGGTGCAAATCTTTTAAACAAAATGATATCAAATCAAATCTAGAAATACATGTTATGATTAAGGTGGCTTTGTCTTAGGAATGTAAGTTTGGTATAATATTTGAAAACCAATCAATGTAATTCACCATAGTAACAAAATAAAGAAGAACTCATATATAATCTAAACAAATGCAGAAAAGACTTTTATTAAACAATATATTATGTATTTGTTACAAACAAATATAGAAAACAGTAACTAGAGAACTTCCTTAACTGACAAAAAATAATTTAAGAAATGTAGCAACTTGCCTGTAATCCCAGGACTTTGGGAGCCTGAGGCAAAAGGATCAGTTGAGCCCAGAAGTTTGAGACCAGCCTAGGTAACATAGTGATATGTTGTCTACACACACACACACACACACACACACACACACACACACACACACACACACGCTTAGCTGGATGTGGCAGCATATGCCTGTAGTCCCAGCTACTTGAGAGGCTGAGGTAGGAGAATCACTTGACCCCAGGAAGTTGCAGCTGCAGTGAGCTGTGATTGCACCACTGTTCTCCAGCCTAGGTGTTAGAGATCTGTCTCAAAAGAAAATAACATTAAAAAAAAATTATATTTAGCTACTACTATTAAAACAGCTAGTTTAATGATATGAATTCCTCTGAGATCAGGGTCAAAACAAGGAGGTCCCATATGACTCCCTTTATTCAATATTGTTTTGCAAATTAAAGCCAATAGATTAAGGCAGGAATATATAAATAAAAGATAAGGTTGGAAAAAATAAAAGTAAAAACCCATCATTAACAGTTGTTGGTTGCATTTCCACCTAAAATTCAAAATCTACTTGTGATCTTCCACAAAATAGTTGTTAGGATTTTGATTATGATTGCACTGATTATTTAGTTTGAAAGAAAAAAAAAGCAGCTTTTAGGTACTGAGTGTTCTAATCCGTGAGAATGTTTTCACTATTTAGATCATTATTTACATCGTATTTTATTAGCTCTGTTAAATCTTGCTTTGTATATTTTGAGGGCATGATTTTAGGTACATACAAATATCTTCCAGGGTAATTGAATTTATCATTTTGAAATATTCCTCTGTATCCCTCATTAGGGATACTTTCTTATGATACTTGGCTTATAATAGTCTGTTTTATCTAATATTAATCTAGATATATCAATTTTTCTTTTGGTTAGTATTGGTAGAGTCTATATTTTTCTTCTTTTAATTTTCTGTATCTTTATGTTTTAGATTTTTTTAATAGCATAGAATTATATTTTTCTTTATCTTGTCTGATTATATTTTTCTTATAATTGAAGCACTTAGTCCATTTATATGTAATATAATTGCTGGTATATTTAAGTTGAAATCTACCATTTTTTAAAATGCATGTATTTGCCCTGCTTGTTTTCTATTTCCATTTCTTACCCTTCTTGCCTTATTTTGTTTCATTTTTATAACTCCATTTTTTCTTTTTATTAAAGTAGAAATACACATTTTTTTTTTTGCTTTTTATCATAGAGATTACTGTTTAAAAATAATAGTACTTTTATTCTTTTCTAAATAGTATTAGGGTCTTGAAACACTTAAAAATTTAAATTTTAACCTAAAATTCATTGAATCATGTATTTAATTTTCTCTATTTTAAGCTCAAGGCATTATTCTTCTTGTTTTATAAATTTGGTATTCATTTAGATATACCTACATAATTCTGGTTTTCTTGCTTTTTCCCCTTTCTTATTCTCTGACCTTCCATCTGGAATCAATTTCCTTTTGCCTGGGGAACACTATCACTTTTATATCAGTGAAATGTTTTGCAAAAAAATTCTCTTAGGTTTTACTTGCTTGAATAAGTATTTATTTTACCTTTTTACTCAAACAATAATTTCGCTAGGCACAGAGTTTTGGATCTGTCTTTTTTCAGTAGGTTGAATATTTTCTTCCACTGTCTTCTGGCTTCCAGTGTTTCTGTTGAAACACTGGAATTTCTTAATTGTCAATTTGAGAAAATTAAGTTGACGCCTAGTAATTGTACATGTTTGTGAGATACATAGTGATGTTGTGATACATATAATGTAGAATGATCCATCATCTCAAACTTTTATCATTCTTTGTGTTGGGAACATTCAATATTGTCTGTTTAGCTCTTTGAAACTATGTATTATTGTGAATTATAGTCATCCTACAGTGCAATAGAATGCTGGAAATTATTCCTTCTATCTAGCTGTAATTTTGTATTCTTTAACAAATCTTTCCTTATCCCATTCTTTTCCTTACCCTTCTCTTCCCCTAGGATATTTTGTTCTACTTTTTACTTTTATGGTAATTAACTTTTTCTTAAGCTTCTACATGTGAGTGAAAACATGCAGTGGTAAACTTTCTATTCCTGGCTTATTTCACTTAACATGTCTTCCAGCTTCATCCATATTTCTATGAATTGCAGGATTTTATATTTTTAATGGCTGAATAGTATTCCATGGTGTACATAAATTACATTTTCTTTATCCAGTCATTTGTTGTTAGACGCCTAGGTTGATTCTTTATCTTCGATATTGTGAACACCTGCAATAAACATGGTGGTGCAGATATCTCTTTGATACACTGATTTCATTTTCTTTGAACAAATGCCTAGTAGTGGGATTGCTGGATCCTGTGGTAGTTCTAGTTGTAGTTTTTTGAGGAAACTTTATACTATTATCCATAATAGCTGTACTAGTTTACATTCCCACCAGCAGTGTATAAGAATTCCCTTTCTTCCACATTGTTGCCAGCATTTATTATTTTTATTGTTACTTCTTTTTAGGTCATTTACCTTTTATTCTTTATTTGTTTTAAAAAACTTTCTCATTCTGTTTCTTTTGCACTAGTTTTGTTAGGACGGATTTCTTTGAATTTATTCTGCTCTATGTTCATAAGATCTCTTGAAACTGTTGCTTCATGTCTTTTTAAGTTTTGAACAGTTTCAGCCATTATATTTTCAAATTACCCATTCTCTTCTCTCATCCTAATATTCAAATTAAATGCATGTTAGAATAGTATCACTGTATGCTTTATATCTCTTACAATCTCTCATGTTTTTTTCCCATCCTATTGTTACTTTATGATTCACAGTAGGTATTTCCTTCTGACTTATTTTTCCCATGAGGTCCTTTTACTTAGGTATCATCCTTTCTTCTAAATGGCAATTCCTTGTGATTCTGATCTAAAATGAGAGAGTTCCACCATTCCCCTTTATGGGTCACGGACTCTATTCTTACTCCTACTAATACTCAGAACCTATCAAAAGCAGGCTTAACACCTACCTCCAGAATTAACAAATGCTCCCAGAGGAAGAGTCACATTAAATGCCAGGTTTACATCCCTGAGAACCTTTTTTCCCTTAGCTATGGTCCAGCAATTCTTCAGCGTTTTGATGACTTCCAACAGATTGTTTTGCTGTCTAGATCTTCTAGTTATATTCAGTGGGAGGAAATGAGAGGCATGAACTGGTCTACCATTACCCAAAACAAAATTTCCATGACATTAATATTTTAGAATATCAAAGGCAAACAGTAAATCTCAAAATTTAGAAAAAGAGTAGACCACAAAAAACAGTAAACACCAGACTGATATATTTTTAGCAGCAACACAGGATGCAGGAAGTTAATGAGATAAAGTTCTTAAAGTATTAAAG